ACAACACGCGGTGACGAGGTAGGAACCGTACTTTGATGTTACTTGGAGAACAAAGACAGAGAAAGAAAAGAGCGGCGAACGTCCGCATATAACGCTTGGGCTTTCTTGAACCTGTAAGTAAAAGGAGAGGGAGGAGGATAACCATGCTTCTTAAGTGTTCGTACGTGAGAACGAGGAGGTTATTCACTGTTCTACGGAAACGTTCGAGCTCGATGATGTTGCTACAATAATGTGCCTTTTATAATCTCTGATAGTTATATATTTTATACCAATTTATTTGTAATGTTTACGTCAGCAATGTTAATCCCCGATAAATCAACGTATGTTACTGTGTTTTTTTTCTATCTTTTTCTTTATTATCTATTTTATATGCTTCGTTCAATATTTATGATTTTCTTTTTGTTCTCGATTACTCTTAAACAAAATTGAATTGTGTAACGATTAATCTTATCGAAACTATCTTTCTTTTCTTTGAAAAATTACTGACTGTGTTTTTTAACTAATAACTGTAGCGCTGTTGTACATGTTTTTGTTGAAACACGAAACAAGCAAATGTATTAATAAACTTTCATTTGTCAAGCGATACAGTACCATATTTACATTGTATCTACATCATCTAATATTTTATTACACTAGATTCATTTAATAATGCGATTAAGATAGTTTGTGGAAAGACTGTGCAGTAATAATACACGCGAAAATAACGATAATAAATGTATGCCTATCATTACAACATACTCTGCTTCTACGATTTCCACCGTATCTTATCCCGCAATTGTATTTTACTCAAATGAGATAAATACGAAACATTACTGTAATGCCGATTGATTATTACTACAAGAGTCGTAGTGTTTCAAATTAACTACTTATTGCTCCTAGAAATTTATACGTTTTCTCCGCAAAATTCTCAATTACTGACTTTTTCCCCTCCAAAAAAATATAAAAATTAATTCTTTCTTTTTCCTTCGTTTGGTTAAGTACCGTTAAAATTCAATTGATATTTACATCATCGTTGTGAAGGACGAGCAAAAATTTCGAATAAATCTTTCAAAATTACACGATCTCGTTTCGCTCTCTCTCTCTCTCTCTCTCTCTCTCTCTCTCCCCCCCCCCTCTCTCCCTCTCCCGATAAACACATCGACTCCGAACAACATTTCGTTACGGGTAAGAAATTGCAAATTCGCACAGATATAAATTTTACTTTAGGAAAAAAATCCTTTTTTTTTCTTTTTCACTTTGTACGAGACACGCACAATACATCCGAGCAGTGTGCATGAGTCAGCGACGCGCGCTCAACCGAATACGCACGTAAAAAAAAAAGAAGTAAAATAGAAAAAAAAAAGAAGAAAAAAACGATTCTCACACGTGGAAAAAGCATGACCTATAACGCTCGTCGCTGTTACAATGGACAAGTGGTATCGTAGATTACAATATGGTACTTGCTCAGTCTACCCATTTGTGAGAACGGACAAAGAGAAGATAAGATTGTCACTTTATGCTTAAACTAATTGCGCGCTGACAATATTTAAAATTAAAGAGATACACAAACGGTTGTTGTTTTTTCGTCCCCTCTCCCTTTTCTTTCCACGGCGTTTCAATCGAACGTCGACTATTAGTACGAGAGTCAGCGTTCGTTTCTCAGAGTGAAAAAAACCGTCTTCGCGAGATTATCGTTGAAACTCAAAACTCTTCGTTTCTCTGAACAGTGGCATATACGGTAGCAGTGAGGGTAAAACTTGTACATATATCACGGAGCATATTTATACTTCCATTTGTGTTTTTATTCTGTTAATTTCTCATATAATACTAACAAAACATTTAATTACAAAACATGGGCGTACGGGTGTGTTGGTGTGTCATCATCATCTCTCTCTCTCTCGCTCTCTGTGTATTATGTATGTATAAGTGTATAATGTAGTTATTTTAGTGGGCATATGTATCGTGTGATGAAAGCAATTATGTGTTTCTATGTGGTATGCATATCATCTGGTTAATGTAAATATTACGATTACTTCATAAGTTCTCTACAATAAGTAGATGGATTTTATAACGACAATTTACACGCGTAACGCGTGCAGTAAATACGTCCCATTTGCCTGCAGCGTCTCTTCGATTAATTTTACATTCATCACGACTTCGCCTTGTACGGGCCTATGACCAATTCTTTCTATAATCTATTCCGATGAATATGCAAACGCAAAAGAGATAAAAACGCTACTATAGTATGCGATACAATAATTATATACTCGCACACCTCGAAATATTACTTATTATAAATTGTTGTTGTTGTATTTTTTTTTCTTTTCGTTTAATAATTATTTGTCCAAACACTGAATATTTTACAACAGCCATCGATCTCAACTCTCTATTTATAATTCTATTAAACAGTTTGCAACTTTTACAGTTTCAAATTCATCTTTCTTTTTTTCTTTCTTTTTTTGTTTATTTTAAATATTATGCGTAGCGTGTCTGATCCAATATTATATCAATAATAGGGGTATATCATAAATTTTGTAATTTGCTAAAAAATATTCTCTAAAAAATATGTCGACCTAAAGATTATTATGACTGATAATCACAGACAATTTTTCAATTTTCCTTTCATTCCCATTTCTTTCTTTCTTTCTTTCATTTTTTTTCTTCTTCTAATTTATCAATAGTATCATTTATCCTTCTTTTGCTTCTTCTTCATCTTTTAAACAAGTACAATATTCAAAATTCTACATTTCATTTTAAACATTAGGATAATAGTATTTTTTTGTTTTTTATACATGGTTTAAAAAGCGTTTTACATTTCAATGTGTTTCTCTCTCTCTCTCTCTCTCTCTCTCTCTCGCTCGCTCTCTTTAAATTCCTTAATTTTTACGAATAAAACGAAGAACTCAAAAGACTCGAAGAGGTGAAACTCTCGATTACAAGAGGATGCAACGCTGCGATGTTCTGAAATTGTCGTGAAAAGTAATAACGGGCACCGTATAGTTCCATGAATAACTTAACCACTCATTTCATTATCACACCAAACTAGCAGATGTCCAACACTTCCATTACTTAAAGCAAATTTATCTCGAGGTAAAGTATACATATACATATTTGAGTTTGAAGATTATACATATACATACTTGTCTCTCTCTCTCTCTCTCTCTCTCTCTCTCTCTCTCTCTCTTCTTTCTCTAACGTCAAAACTCTTTTGCTCATTTTTTTCACACGAATCGTATTTTTATTTATTTATTTATTTTTTTTTTTAAAGGTGCTGACGAGTATAGTTAAACAAATGGTGCATAATATGAGTGGCGGTGTATTATGCTATCTTCTCGTGTAGATTATAATTAATTGATAATAATAATAATGATAATAATGAAGGTTGAATGCGTAATACTAAGGAGCTTGTACACACTCCACGAGATAGGGAATCATTTAAAAAGATACACAGTAAGTTTCAGAAAAAGCGCTCGATAAACTTTTTGAAAAGTTTAGTCAGAGAAGTGTACATAGAACTTAATATTTTTTTTTCTGTTTCCGTATCCAGTCACAACAGACGCTAAAAGCTACTTTTTTTCCATTTTTTTTTCTTTCTCTTCAGAGTATAGAACGTGTTTCGTATGGATTTTATAAATAAAAAAATAATTAAAAAACAGTGTTCTTAATTTGCCTACCGACACGTGTAAATATACATTCATTATAGATTATTGTTACAATCACCATAGATATTATAATCTGCGATGGGAATATAAAGTATAGTGAAATATGACGCGTATATTTCATAATCCCCACATATTATTTTTTTTTGCGGTGATATAGTGTAACAATTATTGAGAATGCATTATCATCATCGTCTTCTTCTTCTTCTTCTTCTTCTTTCTTTTCTTTTTTTTTTCTTTCTAAAGAGAAAAGGATGCCTTCTTATACTCTCCATAAAAAAGCTGACATTCGTATCTTTTTCAACAATATTAGACCATCGTGTGCACCATGTTCTCTAAATCATGTTTAATTTAATTAGTACTTCTCGTTAACCCTAGAACCGTCATCCATAAGTAATAAATATCAATAAAATATCTAACATTGCTATTATATTTTCAAGTAAATTACCTTTCTTATGTCATATTACCTTTTTTTTACAGATTAAAATTAATTATCATTATATTAACAATATTCATCTTCCAATAATAGTTACTAATTATTATTGGTAATCATAATCGTAAAAAAAAAAAAAGATTATTAAAAAAAAAATTACATATAGAGAAAAAGATTCAAAATACCTAAAAAATGGCAATTTCTCGTGACCAGAACAAGTTTCCATTTTTTTTCCCTTGTTTTATAACTTTTTACAAATCAGCATACGCATTTTGTACCAAACCAGGCCGATTAAAATGTTGCACGACCGACGAATACTTTGCGTGCTCAAATAATGTTCCTGCCATCATTTACTTCTTTATATTACTTCATTAAATAAATTCGCGATCAATATTCCTCGTATAACGCATTTCTTATTATTATCAAACTCTTCTGCTGCCACCTACTATCTCTTACTCTAGGCCATTTTTTCGTATAAAGTGCACTTAACGGTGTCCATGGAGCACCAAATTTAAGGGACAACCACCTCGGCAGAAATTGATTAACCGCACTAAAATACTTTATCATAGCTTAATGGATGCATAGACACAATTACAGTTTCCAGTTTGAATATAAGTCATCGGGGTATATCTAAATCTATCACCGGGTTTAAAGCGTAGGTACATTAAAGGTAAGGCAAAACTGCATTTCACAGAAAGGTGCTTTTTACGGAATACATAATTTTATATATATATATCCGTAAAAATCTGAAATATATTCCTATAAAGAACATTCATAACTTTTCTTCCCAGTGTGGGAATATATCACAAACATTTTCTAGAAATACCCTCTAGAAAAGTTTACTCGAAACAATGATCTAATTATCCTTCTTACACTTTGTCAACGTAATCGGGTCACGTGATATAATTCATCGTCCCTCACGAGTCGTTAGTAAAAATTTTGAACAGAAACCACGCGGAACGAATGATCAATCTCTATATGATCAGCGGTTTCGTCGACAGTTTCTGTAAAATAAAAAACGAGTTTCTTCCCTTCTCCAGCGATTTACATTCTTTAAATATAAAAATTAAGTAATGAGATTAATATTGTAATATTGGCAAGGCGGAAGCACAAACGTATGGGTGCATCGTTTAAAAATCTATAAAAACATATCAAAATAATATTGCGCGTAGATAAACCTTCATTTGAAATGAACTTCAATTTTTGTCGAGAAGCAAATCTTTGTTTCCCACTTTCTTCGTTTTTTTTTCCTTTTTCGTTCTTTCACTACTGTAAGACTTAAAATATCATCAATGTCTGCCAAAGTAGGTACACCTTGAAACAGTCTCTCCTACGAAACTGTTCCTTCTTGCCACTCTCTCCCCCCCTCTCTCTCTCTCTCTCTCTCACTCTCTCTTTCGCGCGCGCGCACTCTACTTTTTTTTCTCCTTAAAGACCATATTATTAACTTAAGTTAAACTGGTAGCTGTACTTACATCAAGACAGTGTCTAATCTAACAATTACATATTTTACAAGAACATTCGAAATCTGGCCCTACATCAGACATGAAATGTCACGAAGTTAGTCGTACACTGTACACTAAATTTTAGATTTACATAAAATATTTAAAAATATGTAACTATATCATTATATGTAAAATCGAAATTCACAATAAAGTTGTGTGCTTTTTAATTCACAAGTTTCGCTCGTAACGTGACCGTTTAATCTTTATCTCACGTAGTAAACGTACATTGTTCCTACGTTGTTCAAGCATGCGAAGGAAAGTAAGTTATGGTCTTGGAAAACATTAGTTTTCATCTAAGTACACGCAGATTTTTCGTTTTTTTTTGTTTTTTGTTTGTGCTATTCATTTTGTTCAATTTCACACATTTCAGTTTGGTCCAATTACACGTAGAATCATTAAAATTCTAACTCAAGACGAAGTATGCAGAGAAGAAATTTATATATATAGGTGTACATATACATATGCATATAAGCTAAAAGCGTTTCGGATTTAGTGTAAAGTGACGATAACTTGTACACTTAAGCCTCAATAGTAGATAATAAGTAGAGTTTAGAAGACGTGCATAAAAGCACAGGCGTGGATAAAGTAACACTTTCACGAGTCTTAACGTGATGAAGCACGCGAGGCTCGTTGGGTATGAAAGCAGGACATATTCAATTGTTTATTGCTATAAGTATACCCCTTAAAACAACTACGAAACGTAGCTGTTTAAAGTAACATTGTCATAACGCGATGTTTCGTGTACTATATCTGGCCTTCTAATATTTTAAATGTATATCTATTTCCTTTATAGTAATAAAAAGCTGCAATCTCTGAAAATAGTTTGATGATTAAATGAATAACGTTCAATAAAATGAATCCTATTCCAAAGCGCACATAATTATAGCACATTATTTTTTTGCTGTGCCAGTTGGCTGCTTACGATAGCTGTATATGCAGTCTCAATTGAGGTATTTACGACATCTGCGGGAACCGCAGGTACATGGAATCTTGATATCCTCGAAAGGAAATTTGTAGTCATATGTTAACTCTTCTCCTTGAGTAATGCGACGGAGAGCGAAAATTAAAATGTGTTTCTTACCTAGGATGTCCACCACTCGCGAGTAACAATTTGGCTGTAAAACAATTTCTAAGTTATAAGCTGATTCGAGACAATTTCGTTTATAAATTCAAGAATATATAAATAACAGACCAAAAAAAAAAGTAATTAATCGATTAAAACAAAATTGAAAGAATATATGTACCTCGCATGAGTGGTTAATAAATCTAGCTGCATTTCCTTTCATTGTAGCATCGACGACTAGATGATCGTCAATTTTAAACATATAACATCCTATATTTTTACTGTCGTAATATTTTTCTCGTTTATCGGTTAACGAGGCTCGAATTACCTATAAATATTATATAGACAGGAATATATTAATAACGTGTCCTGTATAATAAAGCTTACACAAATAAAAATACACTTGATATTTTACATACCTCACCGGCATATTCAATAACCATCTCTCCGGCTTCAATATCTCTCAGGCAAAACAAACCTCTACCATGTATGTGAGAATGATATACACCAACTGATTCTTTCGACGTTTCTTTAAGTATTCTAAAACGCATCGCCATTGGTAAATTTGTGCTTGTCACACGTCTGTAACAAAAAACAAAAATATATATATATATGTGTGTGTGTGTGTATATATATATGTATATATATAAAAGAAACGTTTCTTTTTGATTCTGTTTACTCATAATAATTTTCCAACTTCAAATCCTATAATATATTAAAATAACCATAAAATTTATATGATACAATAGTTTTTACCTGGATTCAGCTTCCGAAATGGCAATCATTTTTGGTTGTTGCCTGTGCCTAGATGCGAGCCAACTGAACATGTCGTGAACTTTCCTTCCTTTGAACGTTTCTGCACGGGCAGCACCATTATCGCACGCAGTCGGTAAATCATTTTCTGTTTCTCCCAATTTAGGCGGCGCTAAGTTATGGAACTTGGGTTTGTATTTGGTACATCTGTTTACATCCGGTAGTTGCTCAACCAGATACACAGTGGCGTTGTTTTCCAAGCCCAAATTTTCAATGAGAGGATTATGAGGCAACGGTGATAAATTGTGAGCTTTTCGAGCATTTTGAACAGCTTGAAATACAGTTTCCCATACTTCGGCCATCGATGAAGCGGTACGAGTGAATCCATCCTGTGACTTGATCTCGTACATCAACGTCGGTCCTTTCGAGGTGTTCTTTTGAGTTTGTGGAATCGGTGAAGTCGGTTGCACAGATTTAATCGACTTACTGATCACTCTTGGTTTTTTAACAGCAACTGGAGGAGTCTTGGTTTTCAGTATATTGAATTTGTTATCGATAGGCTTGACCTTCTCTTCAATCTTATTAGTTTTCAACGTGAACGTTTTTATCGGTAACAATTGCAAAGAAGCTATCTGTGGTACCTGCTTCGATGGCAATATTTCAACAGACGTTACCTGCGGAGATTTCTTGTTTTGCGTCATTGCTTTCATGTTATGCGTAATTTTATATGAACCGTCTTGCAGTTGCTTTTGCAGCACTATTTTTAACGAGGCATTCTGCAGTTTCTCTTTGTCCAGTTCCAACTTGAGATTTTCTTTCACCTTCTCAATCGTTTCGGTATTCAGCTTTAAAGTTTCGTTTATGTTATTTATAGTCGTTTCTGGTTTCTTAACTGTTGGTACTACGGCTTCGACGTTCTGTTTCTTGGGTTCCGTAAGTTTTTGTTCCGGTTCTGCTGGTTTAATTACTGGTTTCGTTGGCTCTTCTATGATCATTTCTGTTTTCTGCATGGCCTTTGTCGTATCTTGCTTCGGAGTTACGGCTTGCATAGGTAATACTCTATTCATCGGTCGACTCGTTGGTACGTTACTTGTAGACATTGTAATTTTATTTTGTACAGTCGAGCTAGCGATAACTGGATTATTACTTGCACTTACATTAATATTGTTTGAATTCAATACAGTACTACTATAATTATTATGCACATTATTTACATCATGATTTAACTTATTTACAATTATATCCCTTTGAGTTATACAATGATTAGGTAATGGGGGTATTTTAGATGATATGCTAGATTTTATCATACTAGTATTCTCTGATACATGTTTCGAGTCAAAGTACGGTCGGACGCTATTGTTCATCATCTGTTCCGAACCAAATAGCGGTTCTGTAATTTTCCATGGTCCATTGTTTGGTTGTGTAACAGAATTAGAAACTGGACTTGGACGTACAGCTACTCTCGGTATCGTTGGTATCGAGTTTTGCAACAACTTAGGAGACGATGTTATCCTTGCTACAGCGTGAGGTTCAGGTGGACATGTATCTGGTAGTTGTATTGAAGTTACTGGCTCTACAACACTTTGACATGATACAGGCAATATGGTATTACATGTGGCTGAAGCAAAGTTTTGTTCAGGTGTTGCAGGCATATTAATTTGTGGCGTTACAATAGATTCTGCTATAGGTGTTGATTGATTTACAACTACGTAACCACTGGGTACTGTAGGTATATTGGAAACATTCCCGACATTAGATGATAATGTGGAAACAGTGGACACATTTTGAACAGTAGGTACAGTTGGCATATTAGTTATGTTAGAAGTGTTAGGTAAAGTAGGTACACTAGTCATATTAGACATGTTAGATATACTAGGTACGTTAGGCACACCAGATATGCTAGGTGCAGTAGGTACATTAGATATACCAAGTGCATTAGGTACACTCTGCACATTAGCTGCACTAGGTAAACTAGCTACACCAGGTGCGCTAGGTACACTAGATATACTAGGTGCACTAGGTGTATTGGGTACATTATGTACACCAGATATACCAGGTATACTAGGTATACCAGGTATACTAGGTACACCAGGTACACTAGGTACACCAGGTACACTAGGTACACCAGGTACACTAGGTACACCAGGTATACCAGGTACACTAGGTACATTAGGTACATTAGATGTATTAGATGCACTGGGTATACTAGGTACATTGGGCACACTAGATACGCTGGGTATTGTGGAAACACTAGATACATTCGGGATATTTGTTATGCTTGGTATATTGGATATGTTAGGTACATTGGATACAGAGGGTACAGCGGGTATAGTCGGTATAGCGGTTACACTTGGAACATTAGGTACATTGGTTGCACTAGGTACATTAGGTATGTTAGCTAGGTTGGGTACATTGGATACATTGGGTACGTTAGCAACATTAGGTACACTAGGCACACCAGGTACTCCAGGTACATTCTGTACAGATTGCACTGCTGTTACAGTAGGGACACCTGGAACAGCCTGAACATCCACAATAGGTTCCATGAGTTTTGAAGCTTGAAAAACTTGTGTTGTTGTTTGGTAACTGCTTGCTAACACCTGTGGTACTGTGCCAGCCATGAACTGACTGGAAGACATTACTGTGTTGCTTACAATGGTTTCCAAACCATAATACATTGGTTGGTTTGAAAGAAACATACTGCCTGTTGAATCTGTAAACATCTCTAGTGTTGGTGTTGAACTTAATAGTAGTTGCTCAGATGATATAACTCCACATTGAATTGCACTAGGTTGTTGCTGTATAATTGTTCCAAGAACTGTTGGTTGTGTTTGAGCAATTTGTACACCTGGCAATATCGATATGCCGCCATTTTGTAATGTCAATAAATTATCAGAGGATGCTTGTATATATGCACCAGGAACTAAGTGATTAGTTGTTATAAACTGTGGTTTAAATGCAGTTTCATGTTGGCCTCCAATTGTTGTTACATACTGAAGATTTTGTCCCGACTGTTGTTGCAAAGTCTCAACATATGCAGACATGATACCAGGAGATGCTTGTTGTAATATTACAGTTGGCCCACTTGGTCTTTGAGCTTGTTGCAATTGTATAACTGGAGTATTGTTTTGCATTGGCTGAAACCTAGCATGCCCATTGTGTGGCTGTATGGTATTTTTTACAATCTGTGTTTTAATCCCTTTAGTTCGAGGCTTTGGCGCCCTTGGAGACTTTGATTTAGTTAATTTTGTTATTTGAATATTTGCCTGTGATTCGTTACTTGCAGTCTGTACACCAGTAGAAGAAAATGTAGGTGATATCTGTGGACTTGGGACTGTTTGGGAACTTGCACCATCTGGAGAATTTATAGGAGTATTAATGATATTTTGTGACATATTGGAATCACTTGCAACAGATGGTGGGTCTGTAATTTCTGTTATTTGAACAGTACTTTCTTGAGGTAATACTGTGGCATTTGGTAATGTAGTTGTTGTTCTGGTGTATTGTGTTTGTACAATCATGTCATTAGATGTTAATACTGTTTGATGAACAGTTTCCACAGTAGCATGCGTATGAATTTGTGGTGTAATAATTGCTTGTGCTATTGGATCAATTTGAATAGCTGGATGAGGTGATGGTACTGGAGACAAAGTTATAAATTGTGGAGACACAGATCCAATACTTGGAGAAAATCTAGAATCAGGTGATGCCAATTTATTATCCATAGTTTCTGAATCACTGTCACTTGTTATCATGATATCACAGTTTGTCAAATGTCTATTATAACTATCTTGTGTTCTGTAGGTACAACGGCATCGTTTACAAGTTACAGGGCGATCTATATGATCAAATGGTGCTTCACATTGAGAAGGAATATTCGTTCTTTCATTTTCAACATGTTGTGGTGATATGCACTCATCATCGCTGGAAATATCATCAGCTCCATCTAATTGAGGAATTTCCAAATTCAACTTCAAATTATTTTCTTTAAAATTAGCTTGATGCACTGCATATTTTTGACAAGTGGGAAAGTTATCACTTTCTTTTATTTTTTGTGTTTTATCATTAGTCTTTCCAATATGTGATCTAATAAACCCATAAATTCGCTTTGATCGTAAAACATTGTTCGAAGATTTGATAGAAGAATTAATATCTTTTTCAGTAATTGAAGAAAATTCGCTACTTTCACATGAAGATTCATCGTTAATACCGTCTAATTGTGGTATCGATAAGTGTTCCGTCATACGTAACCCTGTAGTTTTTTCTTCAATATTATATTCTGGTGAACTACATTCACTGGCACTACTTGGATCAGCCGGTCCATCAACTTGTAATATTCGTGGCTGTTGCCTTGCATGCCAAAAGAGTCGTTTGTGTTCTTTTCCTTCTTCCCGACTAGTAGATATTACTCTACGATTAATACCACTGGCATCTTCAATACAATACTTTAATTCCCGCATAGAATCAGATAAAATATTAGGTGTATTTGCTCTGCCTACAGTAACCATGATACTATCTGGGATCCGTAACTCATGTAAAGTAGGTGGCCGTTCATTTTGTGAATCTAATACCATCACACTTGTCTCATTTGATTTTGTCATACTTGAGTTTCTAGATAATTTTCTTCTTTTTATACTAGGACCATAAGTACTATCCAATTTACAACTCCAAGTTAAACTGCAAGATCGTTGATGATGCCTTTGTCCTCCAACAATTAATGGACTGTTTGAAATTACTTCCGATTTAGATCGTTTTAATTCTCTGCCTCCACGTTTTTGATTTTTAGAACTAAATAAATCATCCATTAAATCTTGCACAGAAGTTTTTGCTTCTAAATGAACCCACAGATCATTATGTGCTCCTAATTCTAACAACGGAGGATCTACCTTTGAAATTTTATTTTCAGGTGGTTTTATAATTTCATCTACTTCAGATGCCAACATGTCATCCTTAAATAAATCAGTCACAAAATTACCATCATTTTTTAAATCCATTGCTAAAAAATCTTCGTACGTCATTTTTGGAAATATATCTTGCATGGAAATACCATCTAATAAATCATGCGGCAAATCTTCAAATATAGCTTCTTTCAATTCCGGAGGTAAAAGATCTGTATTATTTTGTTCTGCTAAATTTTCGTCGACTTCTTTATTACAGACTGCATCGATTAAAGCGTCTAAAGATTGTTTCACAGCTAAATACTCAGTTTTCTGTGTATCTAATGCATCTTCTTTTTCTTGTTCTTTAGAATGATCAATAGTTATATTGTTTTCTAGATCGGGAGAAACTTCTGGTACATATACTTGTATATATGTTCTAATATAATATCTTACAATTTTAAATGGATTTACTGTAGACCAGTATAGCCGAGAACATTTATAATCGCAGGGTATAATCTTTTCTGCTGTATCGGAGTATTCAGGTATAACAGTACCTAAGCAATCAACCATTAACGAACCTATCATAACTTTTACTTTACTTGGTTCTGCATATTTCTTTTTCTTACGATCTAGTTCCACATATACTGGTCTTTGTAAACTAAAATCAATCTCATTTTGTAATGTTTTATGCGTGCAGTTATTTAAATGCAAAGAACAGAATACTGTTTTATCGTCATTAAAGGCAAGTCCAACGTTCCTCGCACAAGGATAATGGAAGGTACTACTACAATTTTTTGCGCAACAACCAACACTTGCTCCCTTCTTTCCGCATTCCGAACAACGAATTAACCGACCTCTTGAAATAGCGCTATGCACATTTTGCAAAGAACCATCGATTTCTTCAAACACTTCATTAGACCAAAGCGCACAATTTGAATGCACCCATTCATTTTGTCCACAATATAATAACCGTCCTTCTTTTGTTTCTGGACCATCACCTAAACCTTTGCACAAACAACATGATCTACTGTCTTCAACATGAACATTATATAAATTTGCTGTTTTGGCCGCAATTGCTTTTGGTGCCTTCATCACTTCTTCTTTCCATACTTCTAGAATAGAATCATCAAGTTTCGTAACTAGACTATCATCTTTATTAATATTCTTGGTAGGTGTTAATGCATCATTCTTTCCATTATTTTTAATATTTTTTGGACTAAACCATGGAAACACTTCCTGTAAAATTTTATGATAAGCATCAATAAGTTCCTTAGTTCCGGTGCGATTAATTACATATTCCATATCACAATGAAACTGCAATAACGTTTTATATTCATTATTATTAACTTTTCGTTTCACTGACATTAATGTAGGCGAAGGTCTAACAATAATTTGCTGGTCCGAACAGTGACATTCTGTATCGTTTGAACTACCATTTGAATTTTCTTGAGTTACCGAATCTTTTTTATCACTATCTTGAGTATCCTTTAAAGCACAATTTTTTACTCGAACAGAACATTCTTTTAAATGAAACTTCTGCCGAAGACGTCTCAAACCCCTTCTATTAGTACAATCACTCGGTTGATCTTCATCCAGTTTACTTACTGAATCAGATTTTGAATTATTATTGAGACTAAATTCTGCATTTTTAATTTTTTCATTAGTACATTCTTCAGGTTCCTCCACATTGAGACCTTCTTTAGTGTGTACTGTATTCAAATCTGTTTTTTCATCTGAAAAATCCAACTTTTTCCCACTAGAAATGGGTCTACATAGACATTCTTTTCTTGGACTCCATTTCAATGCAGCACAAGCCTTTTTGTTTTTACTCAACGATTTTATAACTCCTATAAAACCAGCTTTAATTTCAGCTTCTATGGCATTTCTCCAAACAGAATTAGCATTTGAGTAACATTGGCTGCACGTGAATTCGATTGTATCGGGTAAATAACTAAGAATCTGATAACGCTCATCAGAAAGACCTTCACAATGAGCATGTACCCAATAAGAACATTCGCTACATTCCATCATCTGAAAAACACAACATAGAATTGACAACTGTACATACTGCTTTAAAAAGTAAATTGTGTTTTGCTTGTAGTTTTAGTGCATTTTCATTTATCTAAAGACAAACAAAAATTTGTATAATTACATATAAACATGTATATTTACTAATTTTGTAAAGTTAAATGTGTACCTACCTTTGTATCAAAATCATTTTCGTTGTAACATCTTTGACACAGTGGACAATAATTTCCTTGTTGACGTAATTTAAAACACATGGAGCATAATGGTAAATTGCCCACATGAACATTAACTCCTTCACTACCACAGCTTTTACACTTGACACAACTTTGACACACATAAGGTCTTTCAGGACTGTAAAGTCTTGCACTAACACCAGATTTTGACAAACACGAGTGATGAAATGATTGACGACAACGAATGCAAGACAATTTTGGACCAGATCTTAGGTGGCAGGATTGGCATATTGTACATCGAGGACAGCACCAGTTTGGTTGGGCACAAGCATTCCATTCACTGGGTTCCAAACAAAAGGCATGATATGGCTCACAACAGCATTGACAGTGGATGAGCTGGAAAGATTGTTACAATGTACAATTATATATAATATTGTACATATATACATTACTTACTGGTTCTTTTCCAGCACTTCCACAAAGGTAACAAATAGCAGGAGTATGAAAGAGTTCTGAACCAATAAGGGCAAAACCTTTTGCTCCAACTTCTGTAGGATCATACTGTTCCCAAAAATCTATAGATACTGTATGTACAGTTTCATTACTTATTTTAGGTACCTGACTTGAAAATTAGACGTCGATATATTTTGTTGCGGTTTTCCTCTTTTCGGATGAGGTTGTTGTGTTATGTTAATAGTATTATGATTTACTGTATTTTCATAATTATGCTTTTGTGGTTCTTTCTCTTTTACTTCATCCTTTTTTTCTATCCTATCATTTTCCTTCAAAGTTTTCGGAATGTGCTTATTGCTTTCAGTATCTTCTTTTCCATCTGTGAAAGGAAAAGTAGCAATTGGTTGACCAAGAGCAACACTTGCACTTCGACAAACATGTTTAACTCTTGGTCCCTTTAATTCAAGTCTCTGTCTCAGGGGTTGTGGACATTGATTTAAAGATGGTGAAGAGAACATTGGATTTTTCAATTTCTTTCTCACTTTTATCCTATTATTTTTTCTTCTCTTTTTATTAGGTGATATATTCAGTGATGAATCAACTATAAATTTGCAAGTAAAAATTTATAATTATTTAAAAATTATGTATATAAAGTACATTAAGAAAAAGCATTGGTAACTTACATTTATCTATCTTTGTATACAGAAAACCACCAGTACCTTGATAACTAGTTTTTTGACCCATTTCTATATTTCTCCAATTCATGGCTGATTTAAATAAGTTCTTTTCTGAACTGTCTTCTGCGGGCCAGCCTAACTTAGAAGATATTAATTTTTGTCCTTGATTATCACTATCTTCTTGATTTAATGATAATGGAATACTCAGAGGATCTCGCATCATTGGTGGTAATAGTGCATTTAAACCTGTTCTTAATGAAGAAGGAATGTTGTAACATTTCAAACACATTTTTAACCAACAAGCTGGACATCTAGCTTTGTAAACACATCTCATGAGATTCCATTGCTGACTTCTTACAACAGGTGGTACTAAGCATAAACCGTCGCCTTTATGACATTGAAGGATTGGAAGGGTACTACTGGTAGATTTTGCGCAAGCCTGTCGTTTAATCATTTTACTGATAAACTTTCTACATGATTCACAACTGTGAATACCAAATTTTCGAGCTTGTTTTACAAACCGATAAAATCGCACAGCACCACAAACACCGCATTTTATAGTGCCTGTCAAGCCTGAAGCATCATAACAATAAAATTATTTCATTATATAGAATGTAATTAATACAATCAAATAAACTTTAAAATTTCTGTACTACATAAGATTTATATTTATGGAAAATATAGTTTAAAAAAAATAAGTTATTAAACATGAGATGCATACCTAAGTTAGTGTTTCCATTTGTAACACTATTATTATTTGTTGTTGAAAAAGGTCCTTCAGTTCCACCAACACATTTGTTATCTAATTTTAATCTTGCTTTTCTTAAAACAACTTTTCCACCATTTAATTTCATTCCAGTCCATTCGGACTGTTCATCTTCTGTATGATTACTATGTTCACTTCCACTTTCAGACAATGTACTTTCTGTGTCAAAGTTATCTGAATTTCCCTCTGTAGTTTTATTCCCATGATCAGAACTAACTTGACTTTTTGCATTAGTATTTTCTTTTAGTTTTACTATATCTTCAAAATTTGTTTGAACTTCTAGATCAACAGCTTCACTTTGAGTTCCTGATCTTGTTTGAATCCTGGAAGACTCTGAACTTGGAACATTGGAATCAGGAAGAACTTTTGTAGGAACAGAAATTGATTTCTGGTTTTTGGATACAGTTAATTTTACATTTTGAGCTTTTCTGATTATATTTTGCGTACTATCCTGAATACTATTGGATTCATCAGATGGACTCTTTATTGTTTTGTTTTTACTGGATAAATTAGATCTTTTAACATCTGTATTAATAATTTTTGATACTTGTGCGTCTTGTACAGAAGGTGTTAATCTTTCACAATTCTTTGCAGATTGTATAACAGTTTGCACATTGGAATTTACACGTTGAACTACCTTTTTGGCCTTATTTCTTGCTTCTTTATTTTTTAATTTTGTACATAATTTATTAACATTTCCCTCCTTCAATTTTGGTTCCTGATTACACAATTTATTTAATGCAAATTTAGCTTTCTTCACGTGTGTAGCAACTTCATTTTCACTGTGCTCTGCTCCAGAAATTTCTTCTAATTCTTCAATAAATCTTTTATTTGGTTTAATAACTCTTGACGAATGGGCACTTCGAACTGGTAAAATAAATTTTCGTACAGCATTTGGTTTATCTCCACATTGTGCAGTCATATTACGCACATTATTACTATTAGATTTTGCCCTTTGCAATAATCTCTTTGCAGTACTGTTACGTAGTTGTCTTGTTCGTTGATGCTGATCTAAAATATTGTTCACTGATTTTAATACTGGTGTTTTTATAAAATTCGAGAATTTTATATTTTTACAACTTCTGCGACTTTTAGGTCTGTGAAATTTAGTAGCACGTTTGGAATTTAACATAGTCACATCTTTCTTAATATCTTCTGTTGGTTTTATATTTTTATCACATAATTTCTCTGTATTATTTTCAGTACTCGATGGAGAATTTTTAATATCTGTGACATTTTGTTCATTCTGTTGTGGTATCGGTTTATCAATAGCATCAGGTGATAATTTAACAGTTTTGTTTTCTGTGTCATGTTGTTGCGTTTTTATGTAAGACACGGAAAGATTAGCCTCTTTAGTGCTAAAACCATGGAATGGTGGATGTTCCTATGGAAAAAATTTATTAAACATTAAAAATAAATTCTTTTAATACACAAGTAATTAAAACAACTACAAAATTGTTATATTTTACAATCTATTGAAGAAACGAATGTTATTAGATAATCTAAATATGGTGATAGGTATTTAATTATTTAAAAGTATATTATAATTAAGATGCACATCAAAAATTTATGTTTTATTTGAAACCAGACGAAAGAAACTAGTAATATTTATAAAATAAAACATATTTATAAAACAAAAACAAGGTTGAGAATGTGTTTTTTATCAAATCATTGACATTATTAACTATAGCGGCACGTCAGTATGTATTATACACATCTGCCATTCTGAGTCTGTGATTCCGTTCTAATAGGTTAACTTTCATTATACAGCCAAATCTTCCAAGTTTTTCTGGCTACCGAATCGGCGCCGTATGCGTCCCTATGACGCTTATAAAACAAATGTAGTTGTTTATAAATCGAGAAAGATCTATTTACTTTGTAACTCTAATTAGCCGCCTTCCACCAAATAGTCCTCATGAAAGTAAACTACGAATTACCTTCTCGTTGTCACCAAATGTTTCGTTGAACAGGGAAAGTCCGTAGTAGATGTTCTCGGCAACGGTTACCGAATCGCTTTGGGCTGTCTCAGGCTGGCCGAGAACTTTGATCCGTTTCCTAGTGACCGTCTTCGGCGGCTTCCCGGGAAACTTGGACCTTCCCATGTTCACTTTTTTCAACGGCCAACCTCAACCTCACAACGAAATTCTGTTTCCATTTTACGCGATTTTGCCCAGTCGAGGTGCACCAACTGAACACCAACGAACACTTAACACACACGGAACTCACAGGCTTCGTTAAACATCGGTTAACGTCGGCTAAATTCGATGATAGCCGCGAAATACGCGCGTACTGTCAAACACAGAATCACTAGTAGTAAGGTGGGTACATGTGTTTTCAAATACAAACGCGTGTATTCATCTAGTGATTTTTACTTGAGCGAAACTTGAGTTACACGCGCTCACCCGTTGACTCTTACTCCGATCCGTACAATTATAATCTCGTAATAAATTTAGATTATATCACGTATAATATTAATGTAAATTAAAACTAAAAATATCTTTTCGTTTGTGAATTATTTTACCGTTAGCTAATTTAATTAGCAGTTATTTATAAAATTACAGGAATATTACAATAAATACAAATCTTCAATTAGAAGTAATTACCTTTAATTTTATTTCCAAGTACATTATTACAATAAGTGATGGTAGTTTATAATAACCGGCACACGATTGGTTCTGTGTGTCGCGTATTGAGCGCTGTCCAGTTTGAATCCACCATAATTCATTTTACTCTAGGGAATATTAATTTACCTTCTGTAACGCTCGTTAATATAACTTTTATTTTACAAACAATTCAATTATGTTCAATGCTCTTATACAAAAATATACCGAAAAGAAATAAAACACCTGAAAACTTTCAATCATTGAATATTAAATAATTTTAAATTAATTGCTATTATCGTTTTACCAACTTTCAATTTTGAATAATTAACATTGAAAAAAAAAATTACTCTTTACATTGTTAGATATTTTTTTTACTAATAAATAACGAACTTACACAACGTTCATATATTGAACTTATTTACTACGTTAACGCGATACATTTTATACACGTATTCTCTAAAAAATATTTACGTTCTTTGTACTTCTTTTTTTTATAAAACAGATATTTCGTTGAACAGCGTTTAAAAGAATATCACTATACTATGTTAAATTAAATTAAACGCAGTGTCTTTCAACTCTTACAAATAAAAAATTATCCTAAAAATTTACAAAAATATCTTACACCTAATTTCGCGATAAAAGTAAATCTAATTAATTAATGAGCTTTAGAAATATTCCAATTCTGCATTGTACAATGTATATAATGCAATATTGCATATACGAATTAAGTTACAACTTTTGGAAATAAATACGATATACAGTTGCGAAGTTTCATGAAAATGCTAGTTAATTAAAGCATTAGATTACCATAAATTTTAATTGCAACCTGTTATTTAACAAAATTGTACATGCATCCAAATATTGAATGAAATACAATAACATTAAATAACATAATTTTTCTATCTTTTAAAATATCCTTTTCATTACGTTATCTTCCGTTTCTAATTTACACGTTTCTTAGATATACATACATACATATATATATATACATATTTATTTTTCCAAATCACACGTTATTACACCTAAATATATTGTACGAAAACAATATGAAAGTTAATTTAAAATTATATACACATTGTTCGTAACACGAATGTTAAATAAATGCTCTACTAATTAACTTTATCTTTGGGACAGTATCCTCTCTATATTTGACTACATACATCCAATCGATAATATTTATTGGTAGTTGCGTTTCTTCCATGCAAAGTATCGGGTCGCTGCATAAAATACAAAATTCCCTTCATTCCATTATATTATCAACATCGTACCGAACGAAATTTATAATACCCACGAAATTGAAGATAATTACAAAAATACGTATAAATTACACCTTCGTAATAAAAGCAAACAAAAAAAAAGGAGAAAAAAAAAAGAAAATAAAATTAATCATATCAAAAGTTCACTATTTATTTTATATACACAATATATCTCGCCAAAAGAGAAATCTTATTTCGACAATTATTCGAGCCTTCCGTAACTAATAATCCCGAAGCATTGGGGATTTTAATGAAATCCATTTGTTCGAACTATGTGAAAACGGAGCTCAATAAATGAGGTATATACACATGAATTACAAATCCGGCGTTTCATGTGTGCTGACCTGTGCTCCATTTAAAAGAGCCTCCGTCGATACACCCATCAAGCACCACTTTTAGAACCATATTGTACTTTCCCTTTGTATGCTCGATATCTTTAAAGCTTGCTCCGCACTTTGCGAGTACGCCCATTCCCTACATTTTATTTCATTTCTTCATATGCGTGTATATATAAATATACAGGGTGGGCCGCGTAAAACGGACCACCTAATTATCCTCGTTAGCTGCAGTGGTACGAATAGACATTTTTATACGTAATTTAAAGGGTGAATAAGATGGAAGAAAAAAATTTTTCTATAAATGTCACTTTTTTAAGGTTATCTATGTTTCTTCAGAGGAATGTATACATATTCTTCTACTGATTGATGTGGATTTAATACGTATAATAATACGACTTAGGACTGTAGAATCGTATGTGAAACTTCTTCTCATTTTTTGCCATTTCTTCCATTAGAAAATTTTTTTATAGATGCCACATTTTTTGTCTTTTTTTTAGGTTACCTACGTCCTTTTACGCGAAGTAATGTGATCTTGAAGTTTAAAATGTAAAATTCCCTTTCACTTTTTACCATTTCTTCCATTAGACAAATTTTCTTATAAATGCCATATATTTTAGTTTTTTTTTTTTTTTTTAAGGTTACCTATATTTTTTGTGGTAGCAGCCATCGATGGACATAGTAATACGACCTTAGACTTCAAAATTAAAGTTTCTTTCTATTTTTTGCCATTTCTTCCATTAGAAACATTTTTTTTTATAAATACCATGTTTTTCTGTTTTCCTCGAGGTCACCTATGTCGTTTTACGCGAAATAATATTTCTAACCAAACGTGAAATTTCCTTCCATTTGTCGCCATTTTTCTTTTTGCACGAGAAACATTTTTCTTCCACCTCACCCTTTGAATACCATTTAAATTACGTCTAAAAGTTTCTTCTCGTACCACCACAGCTCTAGAAAAGATAATTAGATAGCCTGTTTTACGTGATCCACCCTGTATATACGTATCGTTAATGTCAACGATTTCTTGCCACGTGAAAGTAAAGAAAGAATTTTGCACAATCGAGGGAAAAATCCTTGAGCCGTATTATCAACGCGATCAACATTATCCCACTAGTAATTTCCATTCGTTTTCGCTTCGGGTATAAAAAAGTAAGGATAAAAATACGGAAATACGCGTATACAGGCGATGCCTTTTTCTGATCATGCTTGTAACAACGAGAATACGAGAATAAACTCAATAACCGTTTCTACGTTTATAGCTGCACAAATTGAGGCGCATTATATCGAGCTCAAGTATCGGCCACCAATACCGCATCCCATTTCATCGATCTTTCCGTATCGTACATATTTATGCATTATGTGTACGTATATACGCGGATACATTCGTGGATGTACTAATAAATTCTATATTTTTAATAAGGAATATCAATACCGTATTACGTTTCCCCTTTTGTGCCGTTCCAACCAGGTCAGAAACTAAATTACGCCCCGTCACAGAGAAATATTCGGACGCTACGCTGCTTCTGATTATTTCCATATATATTTTCGGTGAAATCTAAAGAAAGAAGTAACGCGTATTCGGTGAACTTTGTCTGAAATTCGTAATTACGAAAAATGTAAAATTTTTTTCAAACATCGCGGTTTCCCAATGTTGCGCTCGAAACAGGGAAATGGTTATTTTTACTTATCTTCGGAAAGTTGGAATCTTTAACCCTTTAGTGACTAAATCATTTTTTCAAAGATTTTATTTATCTACCGATCAATTTTAGATCTAAATCTGAAGAATTAATAAAAAATTTTAGATCTAAATCTAAATCTAAATTTAGATCATTTGGATCAATTTGAGAGCTAAATTGAGACGAACTTTTATTCGAGTACTCAAGTGAGACATATATGACCCGAAAAGGTCACCGAAAGGGTTAATTATGAAAAATATAAAATTTATTTAAATATCGCGGTTTTCCCAATGTTGCGCTCAAAACAGGGAAATTTAATTTTATCTATCCTTGAAAATTTGAAATCTTCAACACTTTAGCGACCAAATAATTTTTTTTTAAAATTCTATTATTTGTCTGCCGATCAATTTGAGATCTAAATCTAACTTTAGATCATTTAGATCAATTTGAGATCTAAATTTAAATTTAGATCATTTAGATCAATTTGAGATCTAAACTGAGATGAATTTTTGTTTGAGTGGGACATGTGTGACCCGAAAGGTCACCGAAAGGGTTAATTACGAAAAATGTAAAATTTATTTAAATATCTTCCGTTGAAAATAGGAAAACAATTACTTCTTAATCTTTTAATATTTGAAATCCTCCACCCTTTGGTGACGAAATAATAAAAAAAAATTTGTCATTTATCTATTGATCATCGTGTCTCTAACGGACCTTAAATTGAGATTAATTTTCGTTCGAGTAGGTACTTAAGCGGGACATATTTCTCCACAGGTCACCGAAAGGGTTAATCACGAAAAACGTAAAATTTATTCAAACATCGTGGTCCTTTCAATGTTGCACTCAAACTAGGAAACTATTTAATTGTATTATTTCGAACAATAGTATCGTAACGTAATAACGAAAGAATATGGTAAATTGTTGGAGGCAGCTTTATTCGAGCAATCTTGGATAAATGTTTGGCCGAGGTAATTATTACGTTAATGTTATTTCAGTCGAAGAATAATTTGATCATTTATTCGACGAGTAATTACTCGTTACTCTTAGGGGATTACTTTTGTTTGCATTCCAATTATTTGCTGTTGTACACTTGAAAAACGAGATGAAGTGCAAAATTTAAAATTTTCAAATAGAAAACAGAAAATTAAAAATACCTTCGATAATAATTGTATTTTCAGTTATATCCCTCTGCTTCCGCGAAAAAAAAAAGTTGTACAGCTCAGAATCGATGCTAAAATTCTCCAAAAGCGATAAATTTGTGTATAAAGTACCAAAAAAAGATTTAAAAAAAAATTAATCGGAAAAGTCAA